TTTTTCGTGATACCGCCTTCGCAAAATACGTGTTCACTACTTGTGTAAAATAACGTAAATAAATTATAAGTGAATCTGTTTCGTTTCTAAATATAATATTAATTTTTAAAAATACACATGAATTTACATAAATATATATATAATCTATGTATTTATATATTATTGAATATCTACAGAGAGAAAATTGGGAAAACGAATATTATTTATAGCATACCACAAAATTCTTTTTTAAAAGGTTAATTAATTTGGCAAAGCATTTTGAAAAATTTATAAATTTAGATATATAAGATTTATTTTTAAGTTCGTCCTAACAAAAACTAATTTTTTTTTCAAGTAGAACACTTAACGTGGGTAATTAATCAAAGGAAATTCTGAAAGTACCCTTGGTAAAACAAAAAAATGTAAAATTTTTATTTGGTTAAAATCCCGCGCACCGTTTTAAATTTAACAACTATACTTAGTATACAGTCACCATTTTATCGATAATTTTTTTATAAATAATTTTAAATTAAATGTTAATTCGTTTCTTTAATAACTAAAAATAAAAATTGATGTAGTATTTTCAACGTATTTTTTAAACTGTAATAAAAATGATTATATTAAATTCAAAGTTTTTTTATTTTAACAAAAAAAAAAAAAAAAAATTTCCCTAGTACTTTTTGTTTTCGCAGAATTTATGTTGGCAACACATGTAATAATATGTGTGAAAGCACTAACCAAGGTGATTAATTTATTTACTTACTCTTCACAACACAGATTATTTTTAATAATAATAATTATCAGAGTAAATTTTGGCTTCGAGTTTTAAAATAATTTTCAAAGGTAAGAATTTTATTTGTTGAAATTAAAATTTTATTGAATATTTGCGTGAATGTTTGTGATTTACGATAAAACAGGCTTAAGGTCTAATTTGGGTGAAAAAGGTGAGATAACAAAAATATTAGAAAAAAATATATAAATAACATGGTAAATACAAGTTAAAAATCATAATTAAAAAAAAAAATATATATTGTTTTTAATTGTTTGGATTTTAATATAAAATATAAAATTTCGATTCAAATATAAATCCAGTTTTATTGTGATTGACCTTTGGTGCGAAACTAGTTTGATTACCTGAGTACCTGGGTGAAGGCCGTGGGATCATAGGTGCGACAGTTCAAACGCCACATTCACTTTTTTACAGTTTATTACAATTGAAATTTTTTTAAAAATTATTTTCAAGTATAAGGATATTGTTATAAAAATAATAAAATTTAAATTCATTTCAGAGGTAGGAAAGGATTTAATTTTTTAATTAAAAATTTATTATTCTCATATTATTTTTTTTTTTTTATGTCATTTTTTTTTACCTAATAATTTTACCTAATTAGCACAAAATATGTTTTGGTCAATAAAAGCTTTAAGCTTTATTCAATTCTTTTTTTAAAAAAAACTTACACATTTTTAAGACATTAACCTCAAGTTTCTTTATGTATAATTTTTATTTACATTTATAATTATACTTAAAACTTGATAATATTCATAAAAATTTTTTCATTTTTTGCTGTTATGTAAAGGTTTCGGTAAAATGTTTAAGTGAAAATTAAATAACAAATATCTTTTGGCAGTAGCATGGTTGTTTTTTTAATAAAATTTTATGTACATGTAGAAAAATTTATTTGTGCCAATTTAACATTTTATATAATATATAAAATTATCTGTAATTTAAATGCATCTGAAATTTATTTTATGATTTTACTCGAAAATAACACAGTAAATATTTTTAAGTAAAAAAAAAGTGATAGATTTTAGTCTAAAATTATTTTTTATGGTCTAAATATGTCAGTAATTTTCATGGTACTACTCTGTTAATGTACTTAATTCTTTACTTGTTTAATTAATATGATTTCTAACTACTTTAAATTTATCAATTTTTTATTTTACAGAGTTAATAATTTATATTTTTAAATACTCATAGATAAAATTTTATGTTTTTGTTAGTAGGTCAAATAATAATGAAACTTTTATATTTTTTAAAATAAATAAAAATGACTGCAAAATATAGAAGCAATGATTTAGAAGCTGATATTAAAATGGAGCAGCCGCCTCTTAACTGTGCTATTAAAATGGAGCAACCTCATCTTAACTATGGTATTAAAATGGAACAAGCTCTTGATTTAAATATTTCTTCTGGTCTAAAGGTGGAGCAAGCCTTAGATTTAAATATGTCATCTAATCTAAAAATTGAACAGGCCATGGATTTAAATATGAGCTCGGACAAAGTGAGATCTCTTTGTTTAGCCGTCGAATTATGTGTTGTTTGCGGTGACAGGGCTTCAGGTAAAATTTTTAAAAAATTTTTCGAGTAAATTTGTAAACATTCCATGTTTTTAAAATATTTTTGTACAATATTTCAGGAAGACATTATGGAGCCATCAGTTGTGAAGGATGTAAAGGTTTTTTTAAAAGGTCTATAAGAAAACAGTTAGGTTATCAATGTAGAGGTACAAAAAATTGTGAAGTAACCAAACATCATAGGAATAGATGTCAATATTGCAGATTGCAAAAATGTTTAGAGAAAGGAATGAGAAGTGATTGTAAGTATTATTATTACAAAATGATAAGATGGGTTAACTTTTTTTTCAGGTATAAAATTTTATTCAAAGTGAATTCGATTGAATTAAAAGTGAATTATCGATTACATTTTCAAAAACAAATACTTTTTTCCTTTTTAGCTGTACAACATGAGAGAAAACCAATCAGTGAAAAAAATTCACGAGATCTATCCAGTTTGATTGCTTCAAACAATAATTCTCAACCCTTTTTGCCTACTGATATTAATTCTAAAATTTACTTAAGAAAGGATTTAGAAAATGCACCAAGTGCCTTTGCTGCGGCCTTTGGATTGGCTGATTTAGGTCTTTTGACTGCGACAACTTTGGGCAAATCTTCATGTAAGTTTATTGAAATACATGTACATGTAGATATCAGAATATTTAATTAAAAACAATTAAAATTTTCAAATTTTTTATATTTAATCTTATTTTTATTCAATTTTAATTTAGAGCTTCTAATTAAATATAATATGTTTGTACATTTAGGCAATGAAATTGTTAAAAGGGAATCTCCCCATATGAGCGATGAGGAAGATTCGGCTGAAAGTGATGTGAACGAGGAATCAGGAGATGCATTATCCTGGGCCCGAGAAAAAACTTTAAAGGAATCTTTAGATTTATTGTCTAAATTATTAAACGAGGTAAATCAACTTGAATAATTGTTTTAAAAAACATTATTTAACCTAAAAAGGATAAGTTATTAAAATTAAATTTTTTTTAAATGTAGAATTATAATGCTAATGAAAGTGCAACGGAAGAAGATAGAAAGCCTTTAGATTGTGATGAAAGCCTTCTTCAAGATTACCATTCAACTTTTAATTTACAAACTCCTAGTCCTGTTCCTGTACACTTAAATGTGCATTACGTTTGTGAAAGTGCTTGCAGATTATTATTTCTTTCTATCCATTGGGCAAGAAGTATCAGTGCTTTTCAAAATTTAAGGTAATTACATCTTTTTCCCGTTTTTTTGTTTTATCTTAAATTAAAATTATAACTTTTTTTTTTTCTTAATAATTAGCCACGATCTTCAAGTTGCTCTTGTTCGACGATGTTGGCCAGAGCTTTTTGCTCTCGGTCTTTCTCAATGTTCACAAATTCTTCCTCTTAGAGCAATGCTTGCTCCTATAATAGCTTACCTGAGAACGGCTGTGACTCAAGACACAATGGCTGCTCAGAGATTAATTGATGTGAGAATTCACATATTTTTATTTAAATTTATCAATTTTTTAAAAATTTATTAGTTTTTTAACACATATTTTCCGTTTTTATTTTAATTAAAAAAAAAACAGATTACCGATCACATCTTCAAGCTACACGAATACGTTACCAGAATGGTAAGTCTTCAAATAGACAACCATGAATATGCTTACTTAAAAGCTTTAGTATTATTCAGTTGGCATTTGCCTGGACTACCATTAGCACTTAAAAGGCAAATCGATCGATTGCAAGAGAAAGCATTGCAAGAATTGAAAAGCTACGTGGCTAAAAATAATTCAGAGGAAGACAACAGATCGTCTAAATTGTTGCTGAGGCTTTTACCGTTGAGGTTTTTACAAGTCAGTTTATTTTTCATTTCATCGAATGAATTTATTTTTTATTTTTAATCGACTGCCACAAATATTATTATTATTTTTTTCAAAATAATTTTCAGCCTCAAATAATGGAGGAATTATTTTTTGCCGGATTGATTGGAAATGTTCAAATCGATAGCGTTATACCATACATATTAAGAATGGAAGCAGACGAATATAGAGTCAGTTTATTAAATGTAAATTTTATTTCAATAAAATTATTTTATTTTTTTTTTATTTTTAAATATTTAATTTTACTGGATATTTTTTTTTTTTTTTTTTTTCAGGAACAGGCTAGTCAAGGATTCGAAACCTAAAATCGTAAAGAAAAAAATTTTCTTCAAGATAAATAATAAGGACGATTTATATATTCTTCTTATTTGTATAAATTTATTAAAAAAAAAAAAAAAAAAAAAAAAAAAAAAAAGGGTCAACGTTTTTCAACAAATACTATTAGAGAATTATTTTAACACTATTTTGATTTAATTTTTTTAATTAATAATAATAATAATAATAATAATGAAAGAGATTTATTTGAGTACATATATAAATATATATTTAAGTAAATAAGGTAAATAATTATATTAATGTTGTCAGTATTCTTATGTTTAGTTCAAGGGGATAAATGTTACTCTAAATTTGTAGTAAGTGCTTGATAAATATTAATTTTACAAAATAATAATAATAATAATAAATATGTAATTTAAAAAATAAATATAAAATCAATTACCACATTGTAAAAAATTATTGTTTAAAGTAAAGAAATTTAAATATTTTTAAAATTATATATATAAATATATAAAGAAGGTGGCCTTTTGCGTGTAACAAAAAAAATTATTAGTTATTTGTAATTGGATTCATTTTCTCTTTAAAAAAAAAAAAAATTGAATTTTAGGTGTGCCTTGCTAAAGTATTAAAAATTTTTGTTTTTTTTTGTTCAATTTATTTAAGGGTGAAATTATTATTAAAAAGGAAGGGAGGGGGTATAACAGGAGTAATGATGTCAATAAAATAATCAGTTCTATTACATTTTAAAATAAAAAAAATTTTTGTTTGAAAATTAATTAAATTAACAAGTGAAAGGCCTTAAATAAATTATTTGAGATGAAATAAAAAAAGTTTTGATAAATACAAATTTATTAAAATAGAAAAAAAAAATGTGGTCACCGAATTAAATAATAGAAAATTTTTTTTTTTTATGTTTTACTTGGGGACCCACCCTCACACACACACACACACATTTAGAATTTGATTTTTTTTTTTTATTTTAAAATGTAATAATTGTTTAAAAAAAAGGGAAAAGGGTAGAAGAAGAGGAAGAAGCTCTCTGTTGGTTAATGAGTAAAAATTTTTTAATAATGAAAAAGGCAAAAGATTTTATTTAAGTTTTTTTTTTTTTTTTTTTTCACTTTGAATTTAAAAGAAAATTGAAAATTTTTATACGACGACTTGGTTGGCATGGTATAATTGCCACAAATGGAAAAATTTTTATTAACAAATTACCGTAAAGAAATTATATTTTATTATTATTATCATTATTAATTATTAATTAATTTCAATCATATATATATATATAAATATTTAATTTGTTTTGAATAAATCAATTTTTTTTTTTCAGTTAAAAAATTAATAATTATTATTATATTGTAAAAAAAAAAAGTTAAAAATTAAAAATTTTTTTTATAAATATATATATAGTAAGATTTTTATTATTATTATTATTATTATTATTATAAATAATAAGAGTAATTAATTAATTGTAATTTATGCACTTTTTTTTTTTTTTTTTTTTTTTTTTTGTTAAAAAAAGAAATTTTTGTTTAAATTTTGCTTTAAGTTCAAGTGCATAAAATTCAAAAAAAAAAAAAAAATTCATTTATATTGTAATTATTATTATTAAAAAAAAAAAAAAATGTACTTTCTTTTATTATTATTATTATTATTAAATATAGAAGTTTATTTTTTGGGCTTTTTGATGTTTTTAAATATTTTTTTTTTTTTTAAAAAAAAAAAAAGGTTTGTTGGTTGATGATTTAAAAAAAAAAGGTGACACGTGAAATTTTAGATTCAACAAATAGGAAAGCGGAATTTGTTGAATGACGTCATTAATTTTGGAATCATATGTGGACAAGCGCAAAAGGTTTCCATTTTTTTTTTTTTTTCTGTTTTTTTAATATTATTATTCGAGCTTATTTTATTTTAGTCAAGACGTTTTCGACTGATAAGAAACTAGTAGTAGCAGTAGACAGACGTTAAATCGTCCATTTACATAATAATAATAATAATTTTTTTTTGAAGAGAGAGAGAGAGGGGGGGGGTGGGAAAACATTGACGATTTTGTTAATTGATTAATTTTTATTTGGAATTAATTACTTAAATACATATTTCACCGTTATGTTTTCTTTCTCTATGGAAATATAAAAACGATTTAAAAAAAATTATATAAATTTAAATGTCACGCGATTTGTGAACGTACTTTCTTTCTTTTTATCGTCTACTCTTTCATTCCTTTTCTCGGTTGTTGTGTGAAGTGTAAAAATGAAAGGGGAGTGGGAGGGGGAGGGAGGAAGGGGAGGAAAGGGGGATGCTTGGTATTGATTTTTCAGCAATGTGACGATGAGCCAATAGTAGCGAAGATTTCATTGTGTAAACGGGGTGAGGTTTACATATATTCGTGTTTAGAATTCACATTTATTTGAAATGAGTTATAAGTATTCGAGTAAAAAAAAAAATAACAAAAAAAAGGTACACACACTCATCCTCTCCGTTAACGTTTCGTTATCGTTATTAGTCTAGTGATTTTTTATTCGCGGTTTTTTTTTTTTTTTTTTTATTTGTGACCGTTTGTGTGTGTGTGTGTGTGTGTGTGTCCGAATGGTTAAAACGTGATATAGCCAAGTGTTGTTGTGTTTTTTTTTTTTTTTTTTTCCCCAGTGCACATGCAGGTAGCTACTCTCTTTAGAGAGTCAGCCACGCTTCTAGGGGCATCCATGGAAGCAGGAGAGCTACATGGACTCAAAATGTAAGTTAAAATTTTATTTTATTTTATTACTAAACAGGTAAGTTTTTAATTGTTTAATGAATAATTATTC